GGCGGGGGGGGAGCCGTGAGCCCCCTTCCAACCGGCGCTGCTGGAGGGGCCAGGAGACGCGGGCAAGGCTGCGCTGGGCAGATGTCACGGCATCTGATACATCCCAAGCTGCCGGAGCTCCTCACCCAGCTCAGAGATTTTCTTGGGAAAAGGGATCCCAGCCGCCCTTGGAAAGCTCCTGCCCACGTCAGTGATTTTTCGGTGCCGGGGGAGCTGCTGGTGCTGCCTGGCAGAGGATGCCCGCTCTGCCGCCGGGCTGCCCCATGGCACAGCTCCTTTCTCCCCCTCATTTCCAGCCCCGCGGCCTCTCTGATTGCTCTTGCGTTGGGCCAGGGAGTCGCTTTGGGTTTTCTCAAGGCGGGCAAAGGGTGCACAGGTCAGGCAAGCCTGCCTTTTTGGACTTTTTGGCCAGTCTGTGGTGCCCGCACCAGGGACGCACCTGGTGCTGGCTCGCCTCTCTCCTGGCAGTACCAGCGCAGAAAAGCCCAGTGACATGCTTCCCGGGACTTCCCATGCCCATGAGATGCCCCCGTGCCTTATTTGCTTGTGATTTTAATCACACGGTCCCCCCGGACCCCGCTTCTCTGTCCCCCAGTGCTAACAGTTCTCCTCTCTGCCGGCCACAGGTGACCACAATGCTGCACCATGGGAAGCACTGGAGGTCCATGTGCAAGGGGCTCATCCTGGGGACCCTCCTGACCAGCTTCATGCTGCTGCTCTACTCCTACGCCGTCCCCCCGCTGCAAGTCAGCGTGACACAGTGAGTGTGGGGTCCCCATGTGTGTCCCCCGGCAGCTCGGCCACCCTGTTTCACACGGGGCACCCCCAACTGGAGACAGTCCCGGGGCTTTCCAGGCTCTGGTGGCTTCACACCGAGATGTCCCCTTCCTACAACCTCCTGTTGGAGACTGCGCCTTGTCCCTTGGGTGGGGGAGAAGGCGAACCCCAACTCCCAGCTGGGGGCATCCCCCCCAACTGGGGACGCTCACCCTGGGGGGGGGGGGCCGGGGGACGGGACCCATGCTGCAAAATGGCGCAGCGCCCCGACGGGACACATGCTGCAAAATGGCAGCCAGCGCTCAGCTCCTGGGCGATGGAGGGGACGAGGAGTTGCAGGAGACCCCCTGCCCACTGTGGCTTCATGTCCCCTGGGAGAAAGAAAAGCACCACGGGAGACATTCCCCGGCAGACAGGAGCAGCAGGCAGAGCCGAGATGGTTATTCGGGCGCTCTTTATCAAGGACTTGTCCTTCAAGAGCAACCGGAGCACTGCCACGTGTAAACTCTCACCCACAGAGATGGCCACAGGTAGGTTCAAAGCTCTCTGCTGCCTGTCACGGCGAAAGCCAGTGCTCAGTAAGGCCATCCCTCCTGGCATCAAATTTATCTCTAGGCTTATAAAAGAGAGCCGCCTGCGGGTGTTTCATAAGCTATGTCCCAACCCGTGCTCCCCCGCGCTGCCTGATGGGAGCATTATGAAGGATCAGCTTCACAACTTCATTAATGGTGTCCAAAGTAACTCAATACTGTGGTCTCTGTTCCCTGCTCCGGGCATCTCAGATAACACACGAGTTGTTCTCGGTGCTCTCCGAGGGCCCGCGAGCTCGTCTGTGGGGTCATGCACTAGAATTATTTCCCTCTTTGCTCGGGTGCTGGGATCCTCCATGACTCCTACAAGGGGTTGAGAGCTTCCGGACCTCACAAGAATGTTATCAGCTCCTGTCCATGGAGTTACAGCCATGGAGAGCTCGTCTCGATGCACGTCTCAACATCACCTGCACCAGGTCCACCACGACCGTCCCCGTGGGGAGGGATGGGGACCCCCTGCTCAGGCTGCACTGGTGGGGGCTGACCACTGTGAAGACCCCCGTAGCGGTGCATCCTTGGTGGCTGGGGTTGTCCAGGGGGTGAATGAGTTTGGTTTGGTGGCTCGGAGGTGCACCTGATATCAGGGGGCTCGTGAGGGCGGTGGGCTCTACCCTGCTCGCCAAGGGGCTCCTGCCGGGTGGGTGCCCCGGACCCGCTGGGCACGTGGCTGGGGGTGAAAGGGGCTCTGCCCGAAGCCAGGCTTTTCTCCGCTGGGGAGCCTGGGGGTTGCTGGGGGTGAGCAGGTCCAGCACCCATCCCTGGGGTGAGCACCCACCCCCAGGTCCAGCACCCGTCCCCAGGTCCAGCTCCTCCAGGAAGGAAAATGGCCGAGCCTTCATGATGGCTGGGCCATGCTGGCCGAGCTGCCCTCACCATGGTGTCCTGTCTCTTCTCCTCACCAGGATCCCCATCCCCTCCTCCTGCTCCTCCTACCCGGCCCCCGGCAAGGCGCCAGCAGTGGCCAACGGCACGGGCAGCCCCTCGGGACGGAGCTGCCTGCCCAAGCTGAACATCATGTTCATGAAGACGCACAAGACAGCCAGCAGCACCATCCTCAACATCCTCTTCCGCTTCGGGGAGAAGCATCGCTTGAAATTCGCCTTCCCCAACGGCCGCAACGACTTCTACTACCCCTCCTACTTCGAGCGCAGCCAGGTGCAGCACTACCGGCCAGGCGCGTGCTTCAACATCATCTGCAACCACATGCGCTTCCACTACGAGGAGGTGCGCAAGCTCCTGCCGGCAGACGCCACCTTCGTGACGGTGCTGCGGGACCCTGCCTACCTCTTCGAGTCCTCTTTCCACTACTTTGGGCGCGTCATCCCCCTCACCTGGAAGCTGATGGGGGAGGACAAGCTGGCAGAGTTCCTCCGGGACCCCTGGCACTACTACGACCCCAACGGGTTCAACGCTCACTACCTCCAAAACCTCCTCTTCTTTGACTTGGGCTACGACAACAACATGAATGCCAACAGCCCGCTGGTGGAGGAGCACATCCAGGAGATAGATCGCCGTTTCCACCTCGTCATGTTGCTCGAGTACTTCGACGAGTCCCTGGTGCTGCTGAAGGACCTGCTGTGCTGGCAGCTGGAGGATGTCCTCTACTTCAAGCTCAACGCCCGGAAGGGCTCCACCGTCTCCCGGCTGACACCTGAGCTCTATGAGAAGGCCACCTCCTGGAACCTCATCGACGCCAAGCTCTACCGCTATTTTAATGCCACCTTCTGGCGTAAGGTGGAGGCCTACGGGAGGGAGCGGATGGCCAAGGATGTGGCCGAGCTGCAGCGGGAGAATGAGAAGATGAAGAGCATCTGCATCGACGGGGGACACCCTGTGGACGCCAGCGCCATCCAAGAGTCCTCCATGCAACCCTGGCAGCCACTGGGGGAGAAGTCCATCCTGGGCTACAACTTGAAGAAGAAGATCAACAAGAAGCACCAGAAGCTGTGCCGCAAGATGCTGACGCCCGAAATCCAGTACCTGACCGACCTGGGGGTCAACCTCTGGATCACCAAGCTGTGGAGCCACGTGCGGGACTTCTTGAAGTGGTAGGGGACAGCGGGCACCCCGCTCCCCCTGGGGAAGAACCAGGTGCTTTCCTTTTTCTTACTCGTGGTGTCTTTTGGTTGGACGTGAGCAGAACCAGCTGGAGGCTCCGGTGCCCGGGAACGCCGAGGAGGACCCTCCATCACCTTCCTGCCGTGCCCCAACTTGGGCAGGAGCCTGCGGGGGAGCTGCCGTCACCCACCAGGAGGGAGAGCGGAACCTCCACCCCTGACTCTGAGGGGTCAGGGATTGGAGGTTTGGGGGGTGGGGGGGCATCCAGCAGGATCCACTTCTTCCTTCCCCACGGAAAGGCCGGAGGAGGTATTTGTGAAGGATATGGCTTCAGCACAACGAGAGCGGGACATCCATCACCACATCGCTGGAGGCATGCCATGGGTCGGGCAGTGCGGGCGGGGACGTGCCTGGCCAGTGGTGGCAGGGGGTTCTCCTTGCCCGGGGTGGGCAGAGCTGCTGGCAGGGAACCTGAACCCCGAGGGGCTCCTCAAATCACCCCGTTTCCCTCGAGCCCTGGTTTTGGGCCGGTGGGTTGGAGCCTGCTGCGCTGCTTCGGTAGGTCCCAGCCCATGGTTGCGATGAGCGCAGCACGTTCTCAGCCTTCCATCAGTCCACGGCAGGCCATGACCCGGAGCCAGCCGAAAGGCGCAGCGGCGGCGACCGCACTTGGGTTTGGAGAATGGAAAACCCACCCCAAAAGCCCTGGCATTTATCAAGGGGCTTGTGGTCCCTGTGGGTGAAGGGCATCCGTGCAGCAGGTCCCCTCCCAGCCCCCCATTGTCCTGGTTAGAGGGCCCCGTGGCCCCGGTCCCTACAGGGGACATCCCGGGAGGCTCACGGGGTCTGGTGAGAACTGGCGTGGGGAGGAGGTGGGGAGCAGGGTCCGGTGGCCGCCATCCCGGTGATGCCATCCCCTGGGCGCGGGGGGGATGCCGAGGATGGGGTCCGTCCCACCCCCCGTGGGGGTAACAGCCCTCGGGCGTCCCGGCCGGGCTGGATGACACCAGCAATGCCGCGTCCTGTCAAGAGCGGCCTTGGCCGGGCACAGAGGTGGCACCCGCAGCTGAGCCTCCCCCGCAGCAAAGAGACCCCCGCCGGCCCCCCAGCCCGTGTTCTGCTCCCTTTGTAAAGACCAGAAATAAAAAAGCAATTCTACTTTTGTAAGATAATTGTATATTTGGCAGTTTTTGATATAAGGATGGTCCAGCCGGTCTCCATCCGTCTCCTTCTTCTCCGGGGGGTGGAGGAGATGGGCACCTCCCCATGCTGAGCCCCCAGCATGGGGCTGCATGGCCGCAGCAGGATGCTCTGCCGGTCCCTGCTCCTCCCGGGGGGCCGGATCCTGCTTTCCCCGGGTGGGATGGCCCGGCAGCCCCTCGGGGTCCCAGCTCTGCTCTCCCCGACAGTCCTGGGGGTGGGGAGCCCCGTGTCCCCCGGGCGGCGCTGAGGAACGAGAGCCCCAGCGCAAGCGGGGTGCCTGGATCTGTCCCCGCTGTCCCTGCAGAGCCGCCTGCACTGCCGGGTGCTGGCGTGGGACTCCCACGGTGTGCAGATGGCACCAGGAAGGTCTGCTGGTTTTGCAGGGACACCGGACCCATGGGACAGCCATCACGGGTGACACAACTCACTCGTGCCACTGGGTCCCAGCTCCGCTGCTGGTGGGTGCACCCCATTTTCAAGGGTGGCCCCGGTACTTGCACTTCTCCAGCCGAAGCACCAGCACCAGCAGCACTGGGGTGGGCGCGAGCCCTGATGGCCAGTCTGGAGCTACCACCGGGGCCACCAACTCAACAGTGCGTGATGCTGCCCACGGACGCTGGGACGGGCGCTGGGGACACGGGGCTTGGGGCACCTCCCTGAGGTCCACAGGTGTCTCCCATGACATGCTAAGGTCCCCTGCAGGGGCCAAATCCCACCCCGGCCACCAGTTCCCTCTGCAGATGGGGGGATGGAAGAGCCCCTTCCGAGGCAGGAGGTCAGCTGCACAGCCCACCCAGGATGACGTCCCTGTGGGGACGTGCTCCGTGTCCCTCTGCGCCCGGGCCACCGGGTCAACCCACGCAGAGGGAGCTGCAGTGGGGTTTTGGGGCTGCAAAAAGAGAGACAGGAAGGAGCCCCAGACACATGCACTTCACCATGTCTCTGTCCGGGCCGTGGCCGCACTGCTGCCACCGACCGGGCTGCCTGTGCCCCCCGGGGCTGCCTGTCCCAGAGAGCAGCTGGCAGCGAGCCCCAGGGTGGGGAGCAGCAGCTCTGCACTTGCCTGGGGCCAAGGGGTGGAAGGAAAGTCCTCCCGCTGAAGTCCCCCCGTCCCAGCACCCAGCAGCCTCCTCCTTGTTCTCAATAAATGGGACCAGGCTGGGACCACGGGTCCAGGATCGTGTGGTGGGACTGGGGCCGGGGCTGCAAGCAGGACCGTAATGGGACAAGGATGGTGCATTGAGGACCAGGACTGCGTGGCGGGACCAGGATCATGCGGGACCGTGACTGTGGTGGGATCAGAACTGTGTGGTGGGACTAGGACCACGTGTAGGACTGAGACAGGGACCATGACGGGACCAGGACCGTGTGGTGGGACCAAAACCATGAGGTGGCACCGGGAGCATCCATGGGACCGAGACCAAGCGGTGAGACCAGACCATGTGGTGCAGCTGGAACCAGGGCAAAGCGGTTGGACCAGGACTGCGTGCAGGACCAAAACTAGATGGTGGGACGAGCACCATGCATGGGACCAGGACTAAGTGCTGGGTCTGGGACCATGCAGCGGGACCTGGACCTTGTTCAGGACCAGGACTGTGCGCAGGAGCAGACTGAGTGGTGGGCCTGGGACTATGCGATGGGACAGGGAACTGAGCGGAGGGACCGGGACAGCCTGTAGGACAAGCCCCACACGCGGCACTGCTGATCGACCGCAGAGAAAATCAAGCAAATCCCCAAAACCCGGCAGCACCAGCTGGGGCCCGTCGGCACCCAGCCCTGGTCTTTAAAGGCCCCCAGGTGCTGGGGCTGGGGCTGCTGCTCACCGAGGATGGGGCCGTGCTGGTGGGTGCTGGTGTGCGGGGCGGTGCTGGGTGTGGCAGGTGAGTGGGGCTGGGACCCCCTGGCTGCCCCTCTTTGTCTCCCCACTGGTTCTGCTGGGGGAGGTGGGTGGTGGCATCTGTGTCTGGGTGCAGGAGGGTGGTGGGTGCCCCTTGGTTTTGCCTGGTGCTCATTCCTGGTGCCCTCCTGGACTTGCTGATGCAGGTCCTCTTGGGGGAGAGGAGCCTTCCTAAAATGACCCTGTGCTCCGGGGATGTGGGGTTGGAGCAAGGGGGCTTGCCAGGAGCTCCCTGTGCCCCCGGGTCCCAGCAGGTCTATAAGGACCTGGTTTGGGTGGGGGGACTAGAGCCACTGGTGGGGTACATGGCTGCTGGCAATGGTCTCCCGTCCCACGAGCAGCTCCTGGTCCCTCCCCAGCCCTGGCAGGGGTCCTGGTGCTGGGGGATGCTCCCAGGTGTGCCTGGTGCTGGTGTGGCTGGGGATGCTTAACCTTGCATTTTGGGAGGGTTGTGGAGCACCCTCTCCTCCAGCACCCACCGCCACAGCGACCACAGTGGTCCCATGCCAGAGCCTGGCCACCAAGACCGGGGGAGGTCCTGGCTGGGGGAGCTGGGGTTGGGGCAGCACCCTGATGTGCTCAAACCCAACTGAGCTCCTGGGTGCTCTCCCCTCCTTGTGCAGCACCGCCTGCCCACCATGAGTCCTGGGGACATCTGAGGACCTGGATGTCCTCACTGTGCCTGGGACATGCTGCTCCAGCTGCTGCACGCTCAGCCCCACTGGCTAAACCCTCCCCTTGCTGCAGGGACCACCACGGCTCCAGTGGCTTCAGCGTCCTCCGGTCACACGGTGGTGGCTTCAGTGGTGTCCTCAGGCATGGGGACAAGGGCCGCAGCCCCAGTGCTTGCTGCTGCCACCGTGCCTGGTGGGGCTCATGCTCACCCCCGCTCCGAGGAGCCCATCATGAACTTCACCTTGAGGCTCCTGGATGGTGAGTGCTCTGGGTCTTGTGTCGGGTCCCAACTTTGGGGGATGAAATCACAGGACGGGTCCAGCCAAGCCCCCGGGGCTTGACCGTCAGCACCCAGCACTTTCTCCTGAGTGGCCTCAGCACTAGGGCCCACCAGGAGAAGGTGGCCACCCCTGCAGGACCATCCCTCCCAGTCTTGTGGAGGGTGTAGGGCTTTGAATGCTTTGAGATGTTCCCCACCCTGTGCTTGACTCCATGATCAGCTTTTTTTGGGGTCAGCTGCCCCTTGTCAGTCTGATGGGTGACATGGTCCCTCTCGGCTCCATGGAGGGGACCAGGAAGATGCTGTAGCTCTGGAGAGCAGGCAGGGAAGCCAAACCAGGGCGACAAAGCCAGGACAGCTCTTGGCTTCCAGGGACAGGGGATGAGCTCTGAAATTGGGGAGCTGCAGGCAGGCACCTGCCTCACAGGGGTGCAGGCAAAGACACCTAGGGGTGGTGGCCTGGGATGTGTCTGATGTTCTTATCTGTGGTGGGACAGGCTCGGGGATGTCACACTGAGCCCACCCTCCCTTTTCCTTCAGGGGACCCCAGTGCCATGAAGAAGCCGCTGGTGCTCAGCCCCGGCTCTGCCGTCCGCCTGGAGGCCAGGGTTGACTTCAGTCCTGGCATCTCCCTGAAGATCTACGTGGATCAGTGCTACGGGACCAGCTCGGAGCAGCTGGGGGGACACTCCAGGAGGGTCTTCATGGTGGTGAACAGTCATGGGTCAGTGCCCATGGGGCAGGAGGTGGAGACCGCTGCTCCAAGCACCCTGGGGTCCTTCAAGACATCCTGACGGGAAGAGATGTCCAGGGCCTGGAGACAGCATGGGAATGTCTCTGTGCTCCTCTCCTGCCTCAGGTGCCTGCATGGGCAGAAGCTGGGGAGCATGTCCGTCCAGCACCGGAGAGGAGTGTCTGCCCTCCAGCTCACCATCCCGGCCCCCGTGCTGGAGGATGAGCCTGAGGAAGAGGAGGTGAGGTTGGGGTGATGTCCTTGGTGGCGGGACAGAGGCCCTACAGGGGATAACCTGGGGCTCCCAGAGCACCATCCCTCCTGGAGTGTCCTGCTCCCCTCTGGGGTAGCCTCAACCCCGTGGGGGTGGGTGGGAGGAGAGCGGGGTCCCCAAGGAAGGATGTGCTGGTGGCATGCCCTGCCCGAGGCTGGTGTCTCAGCAGGTCTACGTGCACTGCCTGCTGACGGCGTGGAGCCCCGCCGCCGCCCGGGGGCATGGTGCCAGGTCCTGCTTCTACAGCCAAGCCACGGCCAGGTAAGCTCAGCCCTGGCACGGGCACCCTGATAGTGCCCCAGGACCTGAGCACCCTTGGGTGCTTTGGGACCAGAAGCCACTTGGCAAGGGGACCCATCTGGGGCACCAAGCCACCCCACTGCGGTCTGGATGCCACCCCTTCTCCAGTGGTAGCCAGGTGGCATCACCACAGGCCTCGGCTCCCTCTGGGTGCAGACGAATTGGGGAGGTGCTTGGTGTCACCTGGGGGACATCTCCTCTGGGGTGGCAGAGACCTGCAGGGCTGGAGGGACCTGATGGCATGGCACCATGCGGGTCTTGGGGTGGAGGCTGGGGACCCCCAGACCCCTCCAACCTCAGCTCTGCCCTCTCCTCCCAGCTGGCACAATGCGGAGGACCCTTCCCGGAGCGCCCTGTGCCACTGCTGTGACACCGGCTGTCCCCCTGGTGACACCCTCCCCAGAGAGCTGCCAGGTACCAGGGCTGGGCTGTGGTGGCCCCATGTGCCTTCAGGATCTTGGGGGGGGGAGGGGAGGGGGGGTGCAGGGGCAGCGGTGGGGGGGGGGGGGCTGGGGCCGGGGGGGGGGGGGGGGGCGCGGGGTCGGCTCCGTT